GTATTTTGGCTAAATGTTTTCACCTAAAAATGACTGACATTGTTCATACCTAGCTAGCTCTATGTTAGCTGTACTGACAGATGTAAGCTAATGGAGAAGAAGAATGAAAGTCAGAATGAAGCCCACATGAGTGGAAGTAAGAAGCGTAAAGTCATTTGTGTTCCAGAGGTTGGCAGGAAGCTTCTTCTACCAGCCAAACTCTTCACAGTTCAACTCAACTTCACTCAGAACTCAAAGCAAAACTTAAATTTGCTCAATGTAAAAACTGGGGACACACTACATGAACTTTAATCCACAGGTGAATATGATTTTAGACTGTTTTTGTAAAAACACATGTTGAATGTTTGGAACTTTGTGGGTTTTGGAATGACTGACAGTGTGGCTGTATTTTAACAATATAATTATTTTGAACTTAACAAATAGTAGTATAATGTTTGGACTTGATTGCACAAAAATAAAAATTAGAAATGTTTGAAAAAAGGTTTAAAGAATTGATGTTTTCAAAAGTCCTTTTACCTTTATGTGCAAAACGGAATGATTAGTTTATTTCTATACAACAATACATATACACATCAATATTTATTAAATATTCAAGTATCTCTCTCCTTTTTTTATTTGACTTTTTTATCACTATGTGGTTGAAATTATGTACATGATCATTTGCATTATGCCCACTACTATTTTTGTTTATATTTACTATGTTTGCATAATGGCATGAAAAAGTCCCAACTACAGCAGGCCAACAAAGACTTTCCCTGAGTGAGAATTAGGGGCAAAATCTGGCAGTAAAACATAAGTCAATGTGTCTCCAATTTTTGTCATCAATTCATTTGGTAGTTGGACTATATTGATTGATTGATTGATTGATTGATTGATTGATTGATTGATTGATTGATTGATTGATTGATTGATTGATTGATTGATTGATTGATTGATTGATTGATCTAACACTTAACAACAACCAACCAAGGTGACTTTACAGTAAAAATACATCACAAGAAAAAGAAAACACAAAACAGCAATAAAAATAAGGGAGATGCCCCTACGCTGCATGGTGTTAAGAGCCTGTCCAATGAGATCTGTCTTGAGCTCAGACAGTTTCCCTAAAGCTCTATAAGGAAACTATTCCAGAGTTGGAGCGCTGCCACCGATAGCCCAAAGCTTTAGCCTTGTCCTTGGGAAAGCTAATAAAAGTTGGTTTGATGACCTCAGGGATTTCTCATAAACAGGAAGACTTAACAGTTCAGATAGGTAAGAAGAGGAAATGCTATTAAAAGCTTTATAAACAGTCAAAATTTTAAATCAACTCTAAAATGAAGAGGAAGCCAATGTAAAGAGGATAAAACGGGTGATATGATCATGTCTACCTTATTTTAGATAACTCATAGCAATCTGTACTCCTTGTCTTTGTTTAGTGAGCCTGAACTCTTCCTGTGTTGCTGATATGTTAGCTATATTAGTTAGATCACTCTGAGTTCAGTTTAGTGCTAATTAGTCTCTCTTCTTCAGATCCTCTGTTTTTCTCTGATTATTTTCACACTACTTTAATGTCACTCATTCACCTTCCCTGTAGTTAACAGCCAGTCTATTCAATGACTTCTTTGACAGATCCTTCCATTGTTAGTGTAATCCCTGTGTGCCTGTTACTGTTATCACTAGTATAATGAGACTCCTATTCTCTTGCTTTCACTTGGGTCCATATCAACAAAGTACAGCAATACAACAACATATTAACATTTAGAATTGTCAAAAAATTACTTGCAAATTCAGTATCAATCAAACATTTATTAAGATAACGGCAAGGCTTCATAGGGACCATTATTGATCCTTTTCCAGTTTTGTGATTACAGTCACCAAACTAACTCAATAGAAGACTGAGGAAGATGATGCCTGCTATTGGATCAGATGAAGCAAAATTATGTTTGCATTTGGTAAGCATAGAAAAATTGTTAAAAAGAGAAAAAAACAGACTGCAAACTAATTTTCATTTGCTATCTTGTGTATTTGTTTGTTTATCAATCAAACAAAACATTTTTTTCAACATGTTGAACACAAATCTGTTGGTGATATAGTTAGACTGAACAATTGGTGAAAAGTCTGGGGACCACAATGGCTTTTTTTTCTTGTATTTCTCTGTCCATGACTTATTGCAAATGAAACCACCTCCAGAGCGGACCACGTGACAGTGGGAGTGTGTGGAGGTTCACGTGCCCTCCAACAATCTGCTCAATTCTGCTGCTATATAGAAAAATTTAACTTTTTTTGATTGCAGCACATGCTTCTGCAGGGAGCTGCCTGAGTGAGAGGACTGTCTACAGAAGGGGCAGGAGGAGCGCAGCAGGGAGCAGCAGGAGGTAGGAGCTACATTACTCTGGCTAGTGTTGTTGTTTACAACTGGAGTTTGTAAGAATTTTTTATTGGGATTTTTCTCCTAATGTAAGATGTACAAATCAAAGACGTTTTATATTTTAACTATGAATGATCTGAACGCCGGAAAATATCCCCAACTTTGCAGGAGTCGCCCCTTTGTCTAAATCCATTCAGAACTGAACACTAGATTTTCTGTCACCGCTGCGTCTTATTCCCCACTCCCGCAGAGAGTATTACAGCAGGACCATGTCTCTTGAATATTAGCTGTCTGTGGTTAATTGATCTGCCTAATTGGAATAAGGCCGTTTACAGAAATAAAATCAACTGCGTAGAACTGCGTTAAAATTATTTTCAGTCAGGTAGTAAATAGTAGTGGTCTCTGGTAAGCTCGTCTATTTTAGTTTTATAGCTATTAAATTAATCAGTTCAAAAATATAAATGCATAAGATGAGAAATAAAACCAGAAACATGGCTTTTGGTTGGAATGAAAGGAAGCAGAGATGGTGTGAGGGACCAGGCAGAGAGAACAACGCCTGGTTCGATCTGAACTGGGGAATAAAGCAACAACTCAGAGAGTCAGGAGTCTGTCAGCAGCCACGTCAGGCTGCCACACACACACACACACACACACACACACACACACACACACACACACACACACACACACACACACACACACACACACACACACGTCACCAAGCAGATATATAAGTCACTCTGGCATCTGATTTATGGACGCGCCGCAGCCTCACGCTCCATTTGCTGTGAAACCACAGGCTTATAATTCACCTGCAGACCCAGCGGCCTCCTTCTCAGTCAGCCACCGCCGAGGAGTGATGCTGCCTGCTGCCGCGGGCCGCTGACACTACAGTAGTGTGTCCAGCAGAGCTATAATCAGATTGAGATAAGGCTCGGAGTGAAGAGGAACATTTGTCACGTCAGGATATTTATATTGGCACTCTGCATTTCTCCTCAGGCAGACGTTTCAGGGCAGAAGAAGCTTCCACTGACCCGTTAATAAGGAAACACACAGTTGGGCCTGAAAGTCCGCAGACTTTAAACTGAATCGTTTCTCAACGGGTTGAGATGTTGGGGCGTTTCTGTGATTTCCACGGCTAGAGTGTTTTTTCATGTATTTTGTAGTTAAAGCAATTTTTCATTTAAAAATCAGACACTTATGTAAAATTTGGAAGATAGTTTTTTTCTGTTTTTCTCCTGCATTTCTAAACTTACTGATTTTTTTTTTTTTAAAAAAAAAAAAAAGTAAAACAATAAATAATAAAAATTTTAAAAGAACAATATTACCGACCCTCCACTAAAGAGGCCAACATAATCACAGGAATGACAAATTATCTCTTCCTTATTAAAAATGAAAATGAAGTGTATTTTGAGTCTGCAAGCTAAAATTTTAATGAAGAATGAAAAAGGAAAGTTTTACTGTTAACAGTTCATGTAGAAGTGAGCGCCTGCTCCTAAAACACTCCGTGTTTCATTAAGTGATCTTGAGGAATATTTCGGTTTTTCAGCCCGCCAGAGAATGGACAAACGTTCTCAACCAACGTCGATTCTTTTCAGTCATAGAACAGAGGAGCCGAGACTAAAGTCTAACAACCTCACAGCTGAGTAACTCAACTTAAATCTGCTGGTTTCACATCTGGAACATTTAGCAGTCTTCAGCTTGACATAAAATGTTTCGGTTGAATCTCAAAAAAAAAACAAAAAAACAAAAAAACAGCTGATATTTTTTTGTTGTGACTGTTTTCAAATATCCTGTAACACGTCAGCTTAAAAAATCTAATTTTTAGTCCGATATTTAAGAGATCCAAATAACCTTCAATTGTTTATGTATTTATTTTGTTCGTGACGCTTAAGGACCTCGGAAACTCGCGGGCCCTTCTAATCAGGCAGACGGGAGTTGCTCTGAGGGAAGCCCCCTGTTAGAAAGTTTTATGCAAATGGGTTGATGTTTGGATAACAAAAACATGGTGTATGAAAATGATTCAGCTATAAATAACAATAAAATGTTATTGGACCATGTTTAGTCACATCTTGTCCATCATAGATGACAGAAGGGTCTACTCTAGTGTCTTTCTGCGGCGCTCTAGAGGACAAACAGGTTGACATTGATGTGCTTTGGTGAGACTTTTTCATAGTCAAGGATCAACACCATATAGTATTGTATTTATTTGACATCACGATTCATATTTATTTGTTGATCTGAGTTTTGCATTGTGGCCCTATAATGAGGTGGTGGTGGTCAGGAGGCAGCAATGAGTCCCACTGATTGGGTGAATGAACACCACAGAAAGCAGCGCATGATGATGCTGGGTTAGCAGCCAGGTCCAGACGGTGACGGGTCTGTTTGTCCAGAGAGGCCGGTGTGGATATTAAAGTTCTGAGGCCGCCTGGGAAACTCCTGCGCAGAGCAGACAGGGAGACCAATCACTCTCTCCGTTGCTTTCGCACTGCAGACAGCCAATAGCTGTATGTGTGTGTGTGTGTGTGTATGTGTGTGTTCAAGAAAAATACTGAGTCCCGCCGAACCCCCTCTCCCACCCTCCCCCCACTTTGGGCGCAGAGAGCGCACTGCACAGGCGCAGAACGCAGCTGGGGTTCTGGAGAAGCTGAACGGTTCTAAACAGAACCGACACGCCGACAGTACAGCCATTGCCAGCGGACTGCTACAGCCCTCAGCACCGGACCCAGAGCCGCGCGTGGGCAACTCTCCTTCCTGCGCGTGCAGCCGCTGACTGAGGGGAAGCCAGGCCGCTAGACTGATACACAAATCATCGTCGTCATCATCAGCGGTTCGCGGGGATGATAGGTGACCGCATCAGGTAGGCTGCAAAGGAGCGTCTGCTGCTCACCAGCTGCTGGGAACATTTCTTAAAGATCAGGGAGGCGGTGTGTTGGTGTCAGGCGGCGTGGTGAGCAGGGCGATGGGGATAAGAAGGTCAATATTCCAGGCAGGACTCTGAGCCGCGGTCAGGACCTTCTGATAGGGGAAACGCTCAGCCTGACAGCGAGGCGGAGCTCCAGCTTCTTCATCACTTCTTTATTTTCGCCATAATTACTCAAACTTCTGCTAGATTTACATTTCAATTATTTTTTGTTCAGTCAGAAAGTTGTCTGGTAGGAAACGAAACGTATGTCTCAAAAATAATAAAACAGTGTAAATGGGGTTTTATAATATATATTATATATTTTTTTATTTACGTTTATTAAAAATGGAGTGTCTAAAATTATTAAAATAAAAATAACTAGCCTTTTTAATAATCTGTGAAAGGGCAAGCTCTTCCTAAAATGTTGACCAGCGTTTTGTATGTTTCCACTGGTGTTTTTGTGATAACCGAAAAGTTTTTGAGGCTGAAAGGCCTCCTGGCCATCACCCTAATCTCTCTTCACAGATTAGCTATCAGATTCTAGTCAGAAGTCTGGTTCGGCTGCTCCAAAACGTTAATTTTACCACCAATAACAAGAAACGTGTTGGAGTAATTAGATTATTAAACATAAATCCACCAGGAGTAATGGTCATTTGAGCTCAACGGTATTTATTCATCTGTTTAGGTTTTACTATTTCCTCTTTCTGTTCGTTGTTATTGACATTTTACAAATAGTGTACGGGTTCAACTTTTGCAGTCTCACTTTAATTATAACCTTTTAAATACTACTACTACTACTACTACTACTACTACTAATAATAATAATAATAATGATAATAATAATAATAATAATAATAATAATAATAATTATTATTATTATTATTATTATTATTATTATTATTATTATTATTATTATTATTATTATTATTATGTCTATTATTATTATTATTATTATTATTATTATTATTATTATTATTATTATTATTATTATGTCTATTATTATGTCTATTATTATTATTATTATTAATATTTGATATATAGTCAAACTGATAATTATTCCTCTGAATTATTATAATTCAGAGGAATGTCTTTTTTCCAAAAATAATTATCTCAAACAATAAGATTTTATAGCTTTTGTAATTTAAAAAATGTTTCTTTCTTTGCTCCTAGATTCAGTTTGGATACATATTTTCTTCAGAGCAGGTAATCTGGACAGTCAAAGTGCTTTTAATGTAATTTTTTACAACAATGACTGGATTTTGGCCCTAGAAACTAATGGCTACATCTCAGATACAGCGGGCCAATCAACAGAACCAACAGAATCCTCTGGTATATTTGTTGCAGCCTTTGACATTGTGGCTTTTGTCAGTTAGCAATATGCTTTGGGGAATATTTTAAATATTCACTGCAAAGGATAGACCACATGACCTCTATAACATTGTTACTTTCCAACATGAAATGTATGTGTGTTGATCAGTAACAATAATGTTTGTACAGAGAGCTTTTTCCTGGTGAGAGATCCAGATTTGTAGACATGTTATTAGTAACATTGTTTATTACTGGTGCACAAGGCGCTACTTCTTCTTCGCTTAGGCTAGAAGTGTTTTAAAAGCAACGAGCTTTAAAGCAAACACTTCTCAGCACTAGCAGAAGGTACAGTCCAGACTCCTTTATGGATTTAACACACATTAAAATACATCTGCTGTCTTCTGAACATGCAGAAATGATGGTAGACTGTTTTCATTTGCATGATTTCATATGATTCTAGCTTGTTTGAGGCAGCAGTGCTTGCATTTCATGCTGACAAAGAAAAGCTGAGTGTGGTTCATAATTCCTGGTTCTACTGGATCAGTGAAAGGCCCAGATTCACAGTGTGACTGCTGCTCTGTCAGCTGTTATCTTTATTAGCTTTAACAAATGTCTCTGTTCGTTTACATTGCACGCTTTCTGGTCCACTTTGTTGGCTTGAAGAGTGACCGTTCTGTGTTCACAGGGCCACTGCACCAACAGTCAGCCCTGAGGAATAAACAGCAGAAGGTTCTCAGGGTCTGGGAGACAGTAGCAGGACACACTGCACAGGTTTACCTGTGGGCAATCACTTTTCACTTAATAAAGGATCAGTGAAGATAACTGTAAATGAGTCTAACGTGCAGGAGTTACAACATGTTCTAAAAGTCTAATTATTGTTTTAAAAAGAAAATCATTCAAATAGCTCGGTTATATTACATTTATATTTTATACTAAGCGTGAGCAACACTCAGGTAGGAGTGTGTGTTCAGTCTGCAGCTGAAGCTGGTCGCTGCAGCAGCAGAGCGAGGGTCTGCCACGTCTCACTGGTCGCTGCAGCTTTGTCCCAAAAATCCTCATCATACAGATTGTGAGCAGGTGTTGCTATCAAGGATCTGAAGCAAAGATTCATTAACAGAAAGCTTTCTGAAAAGCCAGGTATACGCCAGTCGGCCTACAGGAATTTTTTCGCCATGGAATGAATCGACACATGGTGGCAGGTTTTGAAGTTTGTTAAATGTTTGTCGATCTGGGGTATTTAGATCCTCGAACTTTAAACAGACCAAACAGGCAATGAAATGATTATTATATCTGAAGCTGAATTATAAAAGTATAATTTTAGTTGTAGGAAGGGAACATTTAAATAGTGATTATGTGTCTTTTATTAATTTAATGAATTTAATTTATTTTGTAGGAAGAACATCTATTAATTAACACTTCTAAAAATACACCAGATTTTTCCTAAAGACTGTTTATCACATGATGTTCCTGGACAATGTTCAAAAATGACTATTCAATGAAGGTTAAAATGACTTAACATAAACTTTCAATAAATAAATAAAAGATACAAGCAATACAATCTGTAAATATAAAACAAGGAAACTACAAGACAATCAACATGTATACAAAGTAATAAAAACTAAACTTCCTCCATCTAGATGGCAAAACACAGGTGGACACATGGAGGAAAAGGTTCTTATTATTCAAAATGTTGACAGATCTGATGTGTTATCAACCAGTCCTTTAATTGTTCTTTAAATGAATTATAAGTGGTAAAACCTCTTATTGTACAAAACAATAATGTATTATTTCATGAAGAACCAGAAGAAAGGATTGGATCATTTTTTAAAATCTTTTCCATCTATATTGATAATAGTAAACCTCTCTAAACACGTTACTTTAAATGTACATTAATTTTTTTCATCTTGAAGCACATTTTTAAACATATTTTTTTTCCCTCCACAGTTTTAAATGAAAATGTAGATTAAACATGTTCATGTTCCAGAGTCAAATCAGCATTTTTACATAATTATAATGTCTTAATAAAATAAAATAATTTAAATGAGTGTTGGATAATCAGCAGATGCTTTGATTTCCAAACTCAAAATAACTAAAGTTTACATTTCCTGAACTTGGTTAATATGAAGAATGATTGAGGGGATTTGTTATTTGTTCAAGAGAAAACTTTGCGTGCGTACACACACATACGCACACATACGCACACACACAAAATAATAATGATACTGATGATGATGACTTTGGTGAATAAAGATTCACTGCATTTCAGGTTATCACTGAACTATAACAAAATGTAATTAAATTGTGTTGTTAAAAAGAGCACATTTACAAAATAAATATGAACAAGTATAAATATGAAGTTATATTTTATTAATGGTTTAAAAATAAGGCATTTACTTTATAACGTAAAGATGAAAACTGAAAATGACTCAATGAAAATACTTTGTTTTCTATTTTCATCTATTATTATTCAACCCAAAAAAAGATGTGAGTTAAACAAAAAAAAAAGACACAACGTAAACAAACCACATAAACTGAAAACATAACGCTTAAAAGCCGACAGTCCTCAGAGCAGAGAGCAAGCTGCAGTTTCACAGAACAAATATATTTTCCTCATTAATCAAATCACAAATGAACCTGAATGAGATCAGCCAGCGGTGGTGGTGGGGCATGCAGAAGAGCAGCCACTGTTGGTGAAGAGAGTCACGTTTCAGGTCTGCAGCATGATGACCCCTCCTCTGACCCCTGAGTAATCTCCTCTCTGATAAGTCTGACAGCTGAGTATTTGTGTAATGCTGCAGAGATGCTGCAGGAGAAGGCTTCAGCTGTGACGGATGATCGTGTGAGCCGGGTCCAGGCCAACGCCGAGACGGATCTGTTTCCAGACCAGTCCCAACTTGGTGCGCCCACAGCTCCCACCGCTCCCACCTCGGCTGGGCCTGACCAGGTACAGATGGAAGCTGCTGGCTGACCTTAAAGAACCCAATTATTTTTCACTGACAGCCAGAGGTTCTTTTAATTAGAAATACGTACGCTTGTTGGCAGCACAAACAACATCTGAAGTCAACTTGTGACCAATTATGTACCAGTTAGTGAAACGCTGGAATGTATTTATGTTTAAATACCTAGTTTGAATATTTTAGTATCTCATTTTTCATGTGCTGGCATGTAAAATTCAGCTGCAGTGGATGGTTGGATTTATGCAGAGGGAATTTATGCTCTCTTTCAGAACATTGAGAACATTAAAGTAGTCCTTCATGAGAGGGAGCTGTGGAAGAGGTTCCATGAAGCTGGAACTGAGATGATCATCACAAAAGCTGGAAGGTCAGTAAAAGCTTCATGTTCTCAGTCTGGAGCAGATCTGGGGGTGGCTTGGTTTTCCTACTTGTGGCTTGTGGAAAAATTCACATTTTTATAGGCAGAAGGATGTTTTGCCTCTGGTAGTTGAGGGGTCCAGAGTTGGAATGAATTTGTTGTGAATCGGATTAATCGCAATGAATCGATTATACGAATAATGATAAACTAATTTAGTAATCGAATCATCATTAATTTAAGCATACAGACTCCAAAAAAAGCCAGTTACTGAAAGAACAATGGACTAAGAGCAGTAATGAAGCCAGAACAATACAAACATACAAACATTTTATATTTAATATTAATTCAATAACACAATGCAAGCGATTGTCGCCACATGGTCATCCAGCATGAATCCTGTACAGTCTGCTGGATTTCCTTAGACTGAAACATTTTAATCTACTTCAGTAGTTAATTGAGCATAGTGCACGGTTTAATAACTAGGATCAATTGGAATGCATTTGTGATTGAAATGAAGATATTTTTTGTAAAGTGCCCTCAGACAGAATTTTTTGTGAACTGGTGCTATAGAAATAAATGGAACTGAATTGAAAGAAATAACTTTTTTTGTCTATAAATTGGTTGTATCCAGAACTCTTCTAATGGCAGTTTTAGCTTCACCTGGTTCAAATTCTGGACCTTTACACATCTTTTGCTATCCAATTCTTAATTGGTAAATCCAAAAAATAATCAACAGATCACCATACACTCTATGTAGGCAGAAAGAGCTGAGCTTTTCACATGTAGATGTTAGAGGTATATGTTTTAGCTACATAAGATCAAGAGTTCACTAAAGGAATGATGTTATTCCATTCTAGGCAATAAGAGATTTATTTTTCTTGCTTTAAAAAAGAGTTTAATTATATGTTTATGTGCATAGTTTAATGTAATAACCGTTGGTTGCAGCCCTAGAGTTACCGTTTGGACAATGAAAGTAGATGATCCTGGTTTCTATAGGGAGAATGAAGTCACTAGGGAGTTCTTGAGAAGAAAATATGTGTTAATATGTGTTAATGTGTGTGTGTGTGTGTGTGTGTGTGTGTGTGTGTGTGTGTGTGTGTGTGTGTGTGTGTGTGTGTGTGTGTGTGTGTGTGTGTGTGTGTGTGTGTGTGTGTGTGTGCGTGTGTGTGTGTGCTATATTTGTGTTACAGATATTACCTCACTCTTGGCAAAAAGTTTACAAATCACAACACCTTCTTACAGTGGTTTATTGTTGATGATTTTTATCTTTCTGTTTGAAGAGAACTGTTCAGATTGAAAAGTTATACTTAATTCCAGATCAAAAACTCTAAATTTGCATGAACGTTTTCTGTAATTATCCTTAATGCAAACTTTGGTTGAATTATAAAACAATATATTTTACAGTAAAATGGGAACTTTTACTTTTAAAGTATCATAAAGGTAAAGCTGGAGAAGAATGGCAGATCAGCAGATGTGCCCAGAGCAGTTCTGCCCTGCAGCAGCGACACAATCAGAACTGTAGTTGGGGGATTTTCCAGGGCATAGGAAGGATAGTGAAAGGTATTGGAGCCTAAAGTCCAGGATTTATGTATCGCAAATAGTGATACAGTTCAGTTATAATCCCTTTGCTGAAAGAAATTATGCTTTCTACACATCAACAAAAAAAAAAAAAACAGCTCAGTGTTTTATGTGCTGAAAGCTGCTCCCATTCTTCAACATTTGTGGAGAAAGTAACAGTAAGTCTTTGTGATGAGAATGATACCTCTCTGCTGCCACTTGTGTGGACAGATAAAATTAACGGAGAGACGGAAAGTTCCTGCCACATACATAATTGAAACCACAAATGACTGCTGGCCTTGTTGGATTTAATGCGGCCTGAGGATTACGTAGTGAAGCCTTTGGACATTAACCAGAGATTGAGAATACTCGTATCAACCTTTGCCTCTCATTCCTCACTCAATGAGCTTTTTTCCAGTAAAAGGTCACTACATTTTTTGCTTAGAGCTACATAACTACAGAAGATAGACTTTCGCTTCCCTGGCTGATAGAGTGGTTTCTGAAGACTTTACATCCTTTGAAGAACTATGTAGTGATGCAGGCTGGAGGCCTTCTGGGTTTACCTGCCAGACTGCAGCTGATGGTCCTTGACTAGTTTTAACTGAACATATTCTGCAGGTGCTTCTGCAAGTTCTCATGTAAAAAAAAAAAAAGATTTTGCATTCCTACATATTCCAATGTGTTACAGTAACTCACTGGACTAAGCCAATGTGCCATAATATAAAATGTTTGCTTATTTATACAATTAACCTTCTAATCTGAATTAGATTTTAACTAGCTTAGAAAATAATTTACACACAAATTATAATTTGTGTGTCTTATTGGGATTTTATATCATAAAGCACCATGAAGCAGTATTTTATGCACTGTTTTCATGGGGCAGTGTTTTTTGTTTTTCTGCAATCTGAATTGCGATAACATTCTGAGTAACACAATTTTTGCTCTTTTATTTCAAAACCCTAAATAATTACACACAAATTTCTGATTGCTTATCAAACCTGAAAAAAGTCTGTGACATTATGCAAAGTGAGATTTGTTGTGAGCCATTTTTCTACTCTTGAACAAATTCCCCAAGCATTGCTGTTTGTGCTTTATTTAAAAATTGCCTGGTAGTTTTATGGGGATTTTAATCAAATCCATATTTCAAAACAACAAATTCAAAATGCATCAACAAAGCAGGTGTTTAGAAATAATTATTACCAGAGGTAATAATAGTTTTTTCAGTGTAAGTAATGATCAGTAAACAGCCATGTCTAAGACAACAGACCCCTTGCAGTAAGTTTTAGACACTAATAGACCAATGGATTGATTTATAACGTGCACCAAGACCAAAAATTTAATGTGAGTTTGAGAATGCTATCAATGAGGTGTGAAGAGGGTGAGTGCAGAGGCGGTGGAGAGGAAGGACAGATGCAAACCCACATTTTTAACATTTCTCCAACACCAGCTCGCTCTTTTCCTCAAACAGCACCAACCGGGTCCGATGCTTGTTATGATGAGTGTCACTGTCCAGGCCTCTTCAAAGCGCCAGGCGCAGCGCAGTTCTTCCCTCACTCTCCTTCTTTGTACACAGCCCGTCAGAGAGTCGCAGCAGCAGGCTGATAAGAGAAATCCGGCACCCTCACTAGGCCTGAGTACTATGTTTGGATCATTTCATCACCACACACACACTTTAACCCCTACCTCTGGTGCTCCTTTTGATCTGGCCGTAGTGGTGGAGATTCCCAGAGAAGGAATGGATTGCTGGAGGCCCTACACATGTGGGACTGTTGGGAGAAACAGCTGGCTGGCCAGAAAAAAACACGTACACTCTGACACTGATATCACACATGCACTCTCCAACTGCCGTTTCTCATGCTTCTCTTAAACTCACTCAGTCACACCAGCAAATGGAGGAAATACTCTTTGTCTTTGGTGATCGGCGGACCTGAACTCCCTGACATTTCAAATTGTGTGTTGAACTGCCATCTTCCATCATCATGTAGGAGCACTGGAAGGAAACCACAGAGCTCAGAGGTTTTTATGCTGCTCATATTCATCTGAGCTCTTTGTCTTTTGTTTCTCCTCATTTGTGTTTAGAGTTTGATCATCGGTTTCAGACCACTGTCTGTATCCGATGAGCTTACAAATTCAAATAAAATCACAATAAATACTCTGAAGAATTCACATATTGATGTATTTAGATTCAGATTCAATAGTAAAGTGAAATATAAGGAGAAACCATGGGGTGAAACAGCGAGTTTCACAGAATGGTCCAAAGCTGTGAAATTCACTGCCTTCAATGTTCTGTTTTTGGTTCAGTTTAAGCAAAACCAGGTTTGTTTAGAGCTGCCTTCAGCACATTGCATTATTGTGACACTCCTATGTTTCTACAATGGTTTGTTTTTATTCTAGCCTTTATTCTTAAATTATTGGAAAACACCTTGGCACAGTAGAGACTGTTGTAAAATGTAAATTTGACTCATTGATTGTTATATTGATTTGATTATCTATGAAACCTTCCAAAGATTCTTCACATATTCACACACAAGTTTCAGAACGCTCTTGTAAAAGAGATTGTGCTATATAAATAAATTTGGTTTGATTTGATTTGATAACTGGAAACATCCATAAAATATTAATATGTACATTGTAGTCACAATGAATATGTTGAGTCATATTGTACAATGAGTTCCTTTTGATCTCCAACAGATAAAGATTAGAAAGCTGAAGTCTGTGTCAGGTTCCTCCGCTTCACTATATCTGATGGCAGATGTAGAATGATGAACGTTTTTCAAAAATATTGGAGAGTGAGAAAACTTACAATCAACTACCTCCACTCCACTTGTTGCTGTTATTAAATTAAGTAGCACAGGACAGAGCTGCACAGTGCTGTGCCTGCTCTGCAGCAAGAAGGTTCTGGTTTCACATCGAGAGGCTTTACAGGTTCTCTCCATGCATACATCTGTTTTCTCTGGAGGTTCCAGTTATTTGTCCAAAAACAGTTAATTTTCTCTACATGGTGTCTCCCGGTAGTGCCCTGTGATGGACTGCTAACCTGTCCCGGCTCTCAGTTTGTAGAGCCTTTACTCCCAATTTCTGCAGCATTTTTGTTTCCAATTTCTTTATTTTTCACCATTCTCATTATCAGTATAACAGGTGATTTATTTAGTTTGTATTATGATAACAAAGCTGGCCAAGAGCAGGCCGGCTGGCCAACCTTAGCTGATGTTAAAACAAAAAAACTGCATACAAACTACAAACTGCTAAAACTGAGGTTTTAGCAGTTTAAATGCATTTTGTTTTTATTTCTCATAAATGACATTTCTAATGTTGGGTAAATCCAGCAGGCCTGTGGAAACCAGTTTCCTTTTTACCAAGAGGAAACAACTTAACTTAGTTTTAGTTTCATAAAAAAACATATAACTGACCAAACAAAATGCATTCAATTAAGATTACATTTGAAATGCTTTGAGGCTCAGTTACCTGTTCACTGGTTTCTAACTGACAGTAAAAAATATTAGCTTAGCACAGTGGTTCCCAAACTTTTTCTTCTGCGCCCCCCACCCCCAGTGGTTTCCAAACATTTTCTGTGCCCCCCCCTATGGATTACAACAAATGGCTGTCTGGTTGAAACGACGTGTGACGACACCAACATCGGTAGCCTACAAGGTACTTGTTAAGCTTAAGGTTCTGTATTGATATTAGCTAGCTAGTCATCTTTTAGCTAACATTACCTGCATCCAACAGCTTTACTCAACTCAGTCGGTTAGTTTGGAGGGAAAAACTGTGAAAAGTTCTTTGCGTTTTGCTGGTTTGCTGCCATGATTCTAACACAAACCTACGTAGCTCCGCACAGCAGCAGCAGGTCTCCTTCACAGGTGTAAACCCAGCGCGAGCGACGCAGCGCTCATGTTGCGTTTAAAGGCGGCTCGGAAAAACAGGTTACAACATGTTAACAACGGACTAAACTGTTTTAACTGCTGATAAAAGTGACAGAGGACACAAATATGGGAAGACCCTACTGTATCAAATTGACATAGGAATAACAGAGAGTTGGCCATTCTAAGGTAAAAACCCAGAGCATACAGTGTTCATGTTTTGTTTGTTTTTCATCCAGACGGCTTCCCGCGCCCCCCCTGCAATGACACGACGCCCCCCTAGGAGGCACGCCCCACAGTTTGGGAACCTCTGGCTTAGCAGATAACATGGCTACACTGACACCTGAAGACCTCAGATTCCGCCTGACAAAAAAATGAGTTTCATATTCCTGTCCTAATAAATGTATGAACAGATTTATGTGCATTTTATTTGCCAGGACTAACTGAGTCTCTTCCAAATTGAAGCAGAGCCTCAGCCTCGCCTCCCCCATTATGACCATATTCTCCAAATCCAGGGCCCACATGTCTTGACACAGGCCTCCATCTGCTCTGTCTGTGTGCTGGGAGAGGAGCCTGAGATGAGCAGAGGTCTGTTTTGAATGTTCTCCTAAGATTAACCTGTCTTTCAGTGAGGATGATAGCAGATCTGATCTGCCCAACTGATTGGATTTGAAGCCTCACAGAGAGATTTAAATTACCTGCCCTCAATCCCTTTCCCTTCCCTCTAACGTAAGGGAATATTTACAGTAACATGATCGGAGACATGAGCCTTTGAAGATCAACAATTGAACCAATCGGAGAAGCAAGTATGACGACGGGGTTTGCTGCGTTCCCATCAACCCAGATAGGCACGCAGGCCTGCTCTGAGTGTGCTGTCTAATGTTTGAGCGCGTCGCTATGGGCAGTACCCACACACAAACTGCAGGCCCTACTGACTGCAGCCTCTTAAGCAATGACGAGCCAGCTGTTTAAACTGTCCGAGCCGGGTGCCATTAAAAACCACTTAGGGTTTTATAAGAAGACAGACAGTTCTTTGTGAAATTTCCTTTTGGTGCAGATGGGATGAAAATGTTTTTGCTTTCCCAGAAAAGGTCACCAAATGTGGCTTCCTTCTTGTATTTTATAGCATTGACTTCTGTATTAGACTCTTCTGTCTTCTGGTTTTGAAGCATTAAATGGATGAGAGATAATCCCACACTTTCCCTGAGGTTTTTCAAAAGCAGCTGTAAAGTTAAAAGGAAATGCACCATAGTTTTACATTTTTACAAGTGGAAATCTGAAAAGATGTGGTGGATGTTTGTATTCATTTGAATTCATTATTCCCATGCTTTGATCTCTGTAAGTTTACAGTTGTTCCATAATCTTCCCATTTTCTGATGAGGGATTAAACAGTGCTCTGTAAAATGTTTAAAGATTGGTGTATTGTTTTAGAAGCTTTAATCATCTCCTCCCTGCTGTTTGTTCACTAATGCTCTCCAACAGACCTCTGGATTTTTGCTGGAATCAAATTAAACACAGCTGAACCTGTCACTAATTAAAGGCTGTTGGTTATGTCTGACTTTATTTAGTGGCAGCAGAATGAAGGGGTCTGAGAAGAAATGCATGTTGTACTTCTCTTATTTTTACTTGTAAAAAAAAATAGAACGATGTAACCTTTTTCACAATTAAATGTGACTTTGTTTTGGTCTTTTTTTTTTGAATGAAAAACATAAACAAGGACATTCTAATAGATTAGAGCCATTAAGGTTTCTGGTTGCAGCATTTCATTGCACTGAATTGATGGCTTTGCAGCAATCCCTCATACTGAGGAACCATGTAGTGACAGTGGAGAGGAAACCTCCCCTTTAACAAGAAGAAACCTGGCTCAGTGTGAGCAGCTGTCTGCCTTGAACCTGATGTGATGCCACTCCATGTCTCCTTCAGGGTCTTGATCTCAAAGAAAGTCAAAGCTAAACAGATCATCTCTGAGCCGGATTTTATGTTTGTAGGATGAAACAGATCAGAAGGTAAGTGTGTCTAAAAGTCTTTTTATTTTCTTCAACAGGAGGATGTTTCCTAGCTACAAGGTTAAAGCGAGTGGCATGAACCCCAAGACCAAATACATCCTTCTCATTGATGTTGTCCCAGCTGATGACCACCGTTACAAGTTCTGTGACAACAAATGGTAAGACTGGTTGAACAAAACTCCTCCCAGTAAACGGTGGATCAGTAACACAACAGATTTCAGAATTCTGAGAGAAAAATAGAATTTTTGTTTCCCAATTAGTCTTGATAAATGACAGACTAGCAGGGCCTGGAAAGAGCAACAGGAGGTCCAGACGATGACCAAGGGTAGCATGTAGAGAATGTATTGGGGATGTACTGCTGATCTGACATTTGTGGTTTTATATATTTCTTTTTTCTTTTTTTTTTCTTTGTTTTTTATGTATTTATTCATGGTTACTGTCCTTTGGACACACACATCAAGCACATCTGTTCTCCTCTGGTTGTTCTATTTATTCATTAATGGTACTTATTGATGACAGTCCCCTTAAAAACAGAGTTCTTTGAGATTTTACAAATTTAAGTCAATATTCTTTATGAAATTGTCCAACCTTTTTTTTTTTGCATACAAAAATTAATGAACCATGATTGTAAAAACGGAGTACGTACCAAATCATGACTATAGTGTACAATTAAACCCCTAAATGTTACATATTATAAACATCAAAGTTCACTAATATAGAAGCAAAATGAAAAGCAAAGAGGCAGTAAAATCACAGAAATTATCAGAAAAAAACAGCTGCAGATGTTTGACAACTTAACATGATTTGTATTTGTTTAAACTTCCTCGATGAAACAAGTTTCTTCAAATGTAGCTGACTTTGACAATTACTGCATGAATATTTAAATTCTTTACTTGCACCTTGGGACAAGCCCTTGCTTATTTTGGAGGCAAGCATGGGAAGATTCTGCACTTCATAAAAAAAAGTAGGATGTTAAATATGAAGGAAGAAGACCAAGAATAAGTAAAACTAGTTGGGACTCATACCATCTGAATAAACTTTAAAGTTTGTGCTTGTTACTCATGGAACAGTAACATGACAAATTGAAAAAGTGTGAGGTGTGAATACTTTTACAAGGCACTCTAATGCCAGAGCCTGGTGTTGGGGGGGAGTGTTCTGCTGTTATTCAGCAACATATTAAGTTAGATAGTTATTGATAATGTTTCTGGTGCTTCACCATAATGCATGAGGACGCTGTATGTTCTGGTAAACTGTACTCTTACAGCCCTTTGGATCAGATCGATGTATGACAAGTCTCAACACACATCTCACATCCCAATGTGTTTTCAGGATGGTGGCTGGGAAGGCGGAGCCTGCCATGCCAGGCAGACTCTACGTTCATCCGGACTCCCCTGCTACAGGAGCTCATTGGATGAGGCAACTGGTGTCATTTCAGAAGCTGAAATTAACAAATAATCACCTGGACCCATTCGGACATGTGAGTACCTGACAAAGTGCATTAGGGTCTAAAAAGTGATTTACATGTATCTCTCATCTTAGTGAGTTCTAGAAGATCTAAATGTCAATTTAAAGGGGCAGTATTATGTAGGTTCCAGGCACACAGTTAGTGACTTTCTATAGTTAGAAAATCTCTAACTGTAGAGTTGTGCCAATTGAAATTCTGAAAACTTTGTGTAATGGATACAAGCTGAATTTGAAAAAACTCACGTTTTTGATCAATGTTGAAATACTGAAATATATTCCACAGAATTGCAATGGAAACACTTTTCTTTTGCATCACACAAGTCACATGATCAACAGCCGGATGTTACTACTAGCAAAAACCACGAAGAAGACAACAGGAAGTGACTTATTCAGAAGAACTCTGGATTCTAACATATTGAATCCAAAGCTCTTCTGTAAAATCATCAACTACAATTTCCTCAAAATACTGCAGATGCAGCTGCTCCTTATAAAGGGCCTGTTGCTCCACCACCTGACGTCTACTCTGATGGCTGATAGATGATGAGTGTGGCACCAAACTTGCCAAACTTACCAATTACCAAACTTACATCCATCACTTCCATGACTTTTAATGACTTATCGTGTGAAAAAGCTTAGTCACGCATAATTTTAATTTAATGTCTTATTTGATGGAAGCCCGGCGATTGGGACACTAGCAGAATATAGACAAAGATTTGTGCATATTTGACATAGAAACAGCTTATGTTATCTTCAGTTGCTATAAAAATGCTATATGTATCACATATAACTTAAAAGAAATTAGATTATAAAATATAATGCCTTTGAATTGGGCCTTTGTCTCTGGTTTTCACTCAATCCACATTCAGGAAGTCATCAGAACAAGGCTCCTCTACTAACAATAGAAAAGTTAACTGGATTCACAAAGAAAAACACGAGAGTTGGAAGTAAAGCAAAGGAAGTAAAGTATGCTATGTTTTTATAACTACATGATATTTATGTTAAAATCTTGCCCTGGCTGTACACTATTTTTTCCCTTTTCTGTTTTTATATATTTCATATTCTATTTACTTGACTTGATTGTCTTTCACTTTACTGCTGTTGCAAAAATTTACCCAGGATGAGACAATAAAGGATATTTATATTCTATTTTTCTAAACAGTGAAGGAGAATGAACACCTAATATCCTGGAAGATTTAAAATAACTGAGCTCATAACAGATACAATGGAACATGACACTGATATTACGGCTTTTGTCTAAACATTTTGCTGAAAAACTGCATAACATTATCACGTTTCCCAGACTGGAGCAAGCAAACAGATGGACTTACAGGAATGAGTAGATGTGCTCTTATTTATCTAAAATACATCTGCTGGTGATTATTACACACACACGCACCCAAATTTGTATCTCTAGTCATATTAAGACATTGTATTGATTTCCATTGGTTTTAAAAATTGTATTTTTCCCTAATCCCGACCATTACTAATCTCTTCCTTACTCTAACCTTAACCAAAACTAAATTCACACCTTGCCTCGAGACATAACTCCTAGCTTCAAAACAGCACTGCTCCGTATGGGGCCCGGGTTTTGCGCCCTATAGGGAGCAGTGGGTTCTCACAGCATATTATTTGTTAGATGGACTTTACATTGTATTAAATACAATGCTACAGACACAGTTTGAAAATGTATGACATTCTTCCAGAATTAAAAAGCCACTTGAGTCTGTTCCTAAATCAAGTCCATTGAGTTTGAACAGAAAAATTTATGAGAAGTCCTGATGTTCTTTAGAATAAGCCATCTACACAAACTTATCTATTAATAGAGTTTCAAAGAGCAAAATCAAATCAGTTCTGTCTAATTGTTTTAGGGTAAACACAACCAGTCATTCAAGACAGTTTCTTAACTTCAAGTGAAGTTTAGGCTATTTACTCTATAGCCTAATATTGCCAGAGTGACAGAGAGATGAGCAGCACCATGATGGAGGGCCTTTTCATGTGCTGACTTCTAAATGATGGAATGGAAGGAGAAAACAAGTGCAGAGGAGAGTGTGTGAGGAGTGTGACTGTGGCAGTTCTCCCCAGGGGAACTCTGGGATAGCTTGTCTGAAGCCATCTCATCACTGGGCAGGCTCATTAGGTTCATAACCTCTCAGATCAGTGGTGGAGCCTGTTGTCACATCAGTTTGAGAGCCTGGGCAGTGAAAAGGTCGAGTCGGAGAAGGAGTCGGAGGCCGAGCAGGGGATGGCGGGACCAGGAAGTCTGCTGCCGTCCACAGGACAACAGATCCCCATGTCTGCTCATTATCTTCATTACACAATATAGGACAACCTCTCATCTTCATCTCATTAATCCCTAAACAGCACAATTACACCTCTGAGGAAATTCACATACATTGAGTACGGAAAGTATTCAGACCCTTTCAAATTTTTCACTCTCTGTTTCACTGCAGCCATTTGCTAAAAATAAAAAAGTTCATAACTTTTAATTATGAATTTCTCAACTCAGCATCCCATCTTGACAGAAAAAACAGAAATATAGAAATTTGCTCAGTATTGAGTAGAAGCACCTTTTGATCTAGTACAGCCAAGTGTCTTCTTGGGAATGATGCAACAACTTTTTCACACTTGGATTTGGGTATCGTCTGCCATTCTTGCTTGCAGATCCTATAAAGTTCTGTCAGGTTTGGATGGTGAACATTGGTGGAGCCATTTTCAGGTCTCTCCAGAGATGTTCAATTGGGTTTAGGTGAGAGCTCTAGATGGGCCAGTAAAGAATGGTTTCAGAGTTGTTCTGAAGTCACTCCTTTGTTATTTTAGCTGTGTGCTTCAGGTCATTGTCTTGTTGGAAGGTGAACCTTCGGCCCATTTGAGGTCCTGAGCACTCTGGAAGAGGTTTTCTTCCAGGATCTCTCTGTACTCATCTTTGCTTCAAGTGCAACCAGTCGTCCTGTCCCTGCAGGTGAAAAACACCCACATAGAATGATGCTGCCATCACCATGTTTCACTGCTGGGATTGTATTGGGCAGGTGATGAGAAGTGTCTGGTTTTCTTAGAATTAACACCAAAAAGTTCAATCTTCATCTCATCAGACCAGAGAATCTTATTTCTCAGTCTGTGAGTCTTTCATGTGTCTTTTGGTAAACTATATGCAGGCTTTCACATGTCTGGCACTGAGGAGAGGATTTCATCCAGCCACTCTGCCATAAAACCCTGACTGGTGGAGCGCTGCAGTGATAGTTAACTTTGTGGAACTTTCTCCCATCTCCATCTCTGGAGCTCAGACACAGTGACCTTTGGCTTCTTCTTTCCCTCTCTCACCAAGGCTCTTCTCCCACAATTGCACAATTTGGCTGGATGAAAGAGTTCTGGTCATCCCAAACTTCTTCCATGTAAGGATTATGGAGGCCACTGTGCTCTTAGGAACCTTAAGTGCTGCAGAAATTCTTTTGGAACCTTGGCCAGAACTGTGCCTTGCCACCAAAGCAAAGAACCTTGGATTCCTTGGGCAGTTCCTTCCACATCATTTGCTCTGACATGAGCAGCTGGACTCCAATGAAGGAGTAGAACCATCTCAAGGAGGAGCAGAAGAAATGGACAGCATGAGTGTCACAGCAAAGGGTTTGAATACTTATAATGATGCTATATTTCAGTTTTTGTTTTTTTAATAAATTTGCAAAAATTTCTACATTTCTGTTTTTTCTGTCTAGATGGGATGCTGAGTGTACATTCATGAGAAATAATATGAACTTTTTGATTTTAGCAAATGGCTGCAATAAAACAAAGTGAAACATTGTTCACTCACTTAATTAGCAAAGACTTTTTTTCATGTAGAGACTGAGGTATTATCAAGTCCTATCATCGTGTTACAGACTTTCCAAAGATTCTGATTAGATTCTAGTTGATACTAGGCTGTGAGGTCAACTTGTGGCTGCAGAACTGCAGAACTGTTTAGATGTGGAGGTGCTGTATTGGTTGGAATTATAACTGATCCCAGGCTTTATTATAAATAATTTAGACTTTTACATAAATAATAACCACCTAGTGGAAACATGACAGCGTTTTGCAAGCTTTGAGGAATCACTAGACATCTAGTCTTCCTGTAACGATGCTTTGCTGTAGCTTAGGAATTTAAAGGGGCAGTATTGTGTATTCCCCTTCGTAGAACAGTGCCATTTTGTAGAACAATCAAGTAACTGTTAATTTCAGTTGTCATAAAAATGGTATATAAAGCAAACATAACTTAAAAGAAATCTGACTTAAAGTAATTTAGCACCTTTATATTGGGCCTTTGTCTCTTTAAAAACCCTTGGACGTTTTGAAACTCCACCTTCAGGAAGTCATCACAACATGGCTCCTCTATTAACCCTTTAATAATGATTTTACCAGCCTTTCACTGAGAAGTAGCTCCTATAATGAGATCAGCCGATGTACGGTTCCACCAGGTGTTTGCTAATTGCTCCTGGCTAGTCTGAAAGAGCTGAGTGGGGGATTTCTGGGAAGGGCTGTTCTGTGAGGCAGAAGCTTGGAAACTGCAGATCTTAAACATTTTGCACAGCAGAATGGTTGCCAAGGAGATTATAGGATTTCTTAAAAACGCATGAAAAAAATCAAGGCAACATTCCACATACATTTTAAAGTTAAGCTCAAAAAAGTCAATTTTACAAAATAATGCCCCCTTAAATTTGTCCTTAGGCCTAATTCAATAATTTTAAAGGTTATTTCATCCTTTAAATTTTTAATTAATCATGTCATAAAGTGATAGACCCTAATAATCCATAAAATGTAAATATGGATTTATGTTTCAAGAAAAATAATAGAACGATATTTAGACTTAGTGATGTGTGATGGAAATGCAAGTGTTTTTTTTTTATCAGTTTTTGTTTTTGTTAGAACTTCTCTTAAGCCCTGTGTTCTTCATGAAGCTATTTTATGTAAATAAGCCTTGGAGGGTTTTCTTCTCCTCACTCTCAACTGGAGAAATGTTATATAACTGGGAAAGCGTGTTGGAAATCTCTGTTTAAAACCTTTGATGTCAAGTCTGAACATCAAACATGTTCTAAATAGAACATATTGCCATGAAATGATATGATATAATTTTTTTAATGACTTGAAAATGCTATCACAGATGAAATTCCACATATTCTGTTTTTTCTTTTATTTGGATTTGGTCAAACAAATATGTAACTTTGTAACTTTAAAACAGAAGGTTTTTTTTCCCCTTTCCTTTATAAACAGTCACTAGAATCAAAATATGTTATATAAATAGATACAAAATCTCACAATACGTTTAGTGCGTCAAAGAACATATAAAATAGATAAATATAAATGTAAACTAATTTTGGCCAACAAACTGTCTGAAATCAGCTACCAAGTGTAAATAAAAATACTTCAGTACATAATTGAAACAAACTGCTGTGGTTCAACTGAACATTAAAAAAACATTATGTCCAAAAGTAAGAGTCTTCTTTTGATATTTAACGAAATCTTCCTTTTAAAGATGCTCAACAAAAAAATATGCCTGATTCAAGGCCAAGTTAGCAGGTAGCTAGCAGCTAGCTAGCTTCTTATTCTGTTTCTGAGTAGTCATGGTATCTTTGCGCCTGCAATCAACTGGGTGCTGACAAAACGGACAGAAAATGTTCTCTTGTTTCATATAACTTGAACTTCACACTTGCTTGAGTTATTTATTTACTTTTTGTCAAGATGTTAGTGTTTCAGAAAGTCAGACAGAATGAACCAGTCGCCATGGCTGACTGGTTCATTCTGTCTGTATGGAGAGGAGAGCTGAGTTCCGCATAATCAGGTAACGGCGGGTACGGAAGCTGCAGCAGCCAAAACACTACAGCTAAACTACTGTATATTCTTCCCTTATTGCAGATATCAAGTCTGGTAAAAACCAGCCCCATGTCCTGCACTACTGGCCTCATAGTGAGGGTTTGGACTCTCAGCTTCAAGACCAACAAAAATAAACTATATTGACAATCTTGACCAATGTGCAAGAGAAAGATATATCAACAGAATTGCTCTGTCAGGATTGACCCATATATGGTTTAGCTGATTTATTCATAGCCACTATCGTGGCATATAGTTACAGATACCTACCCAGATGTCGTTCAGCTACAAAGTTTCCAGAAGTATGTCGTCACATGATAACTATGTATTGCCAATGTTTGCCCGTGGCATATGTAACGCACAAGTTTGACGCTGTGAAACTTACTGTAAATTGGAGGAAGTTCAAAGCATCTCTTCCATCCATCATAATAGGCAAGGATCAGATCCCAGACTCCAACGTCTCTCTGCCGATGTTCTAAGCAAACGGTCACTACTGGAGATCCTTCATGCCCACAGTAACCCCATCCACAACAACTCTTTGAAGATATGTATCTAGATGATTTTATTTTCTGAGACAAATAAAATAGCTGAATTAAATCACACTATTATATCTTTCTACTGAGTTTAATTTCACTCATTCTGTCACACAACTCCAACTTGTAAATGGATGAATATCAATTGCAATTTAAGTATTGTGGCAGGATTAGGGTTCTTAATATAAAAATAACTTTTCAACTTATCCAAAACTAACATCCTGGTGAATGAAGAAAAACAAACACAAGGCTAATCTTTTTCTTTAGCCACTGGCGGTCTAGGAGTTTCGGTATCGCCCACGGACAGCAGAACAGAGGTAGGAAAATACTAAGCTTATTTCAGTCTTCCTCAGCAAGAGGAGAAAAGGAGGAAGGAGTCGTTCAGTGTTCGAGCAAAGCATAGCAGCCCTCGGCCTTTTCAACCTTTGCCTCTCTTTGGGAGCCCCCTTGAGGTGAAGGCTTCTCAGGAGAGTCTAGAAAGGGAGGAAGGGAGCGCAGCTTGATGTTCATCATTGCTGACAGTGCTGGACCATTGGTGACCCTGCTCTACTGCTGCTAATGCCTGACTGGGCCCAGCATGGAGCTGCGGTGAGCAGAGGGATGTCAGTCAGCTGACCTGCAACCACCTAACAACCTAAACGCACAACACACGCCACCTGCTACACAGCTCTGAGAGTCCCCATCAAGTCAGATGAAATATGCAAAGATGGAGTTCATTACTTATCCCAATGACTAAAACAGCTTTCTGCTCAAAAGCACCAGATTCAAAGAAATATTTAACAGGAAACACTTGGTTTTCTGTCTGATATAGATTTGATCAAACAGCTCCAACCTGTACTGTATCAAAGATGAATCACAGAAATAAGGGAATAAATCACCTACCAACCACATATTTCACCACCATCACCTATCAGAGTCTGAGACAGGTAACTTTGGGAACTTTGCTCCAGTATGCAGTCTGTAACCATAGTAACGACAGTACATAGTACACTGTGTGCATAATTATTACACAAGTTGTCAACTGATCATCAACTGATATGTTTATACTCAATAAGCATTCAAGTTTATACAGCTTGGAGATGGAAAATATGCATGAAAATGATGATATGATCAAAACTAAAACTTTCCTAATAATTGTGCACACAGCGTAAACAAAAGTTGGGGTCTGTCACAGAGACGTGGTCTCACCTTTGTGCTAACCTGCGTCATAAACAATAGCTTAAGTTAAACTTATACACGCTTTCTATTCTACAACAAAGCTTATTAAACTGATCTCAGTGTGAATCTAATGTTTTCCGATTTTTCTTTTTTACAGAACTACACAACTAGCGCTGCTGATTTTACAGGCTAAAAAAGATGCAAATGTTGCTCTGCAGGAACAACCCCAGTTGGATTCTCTGAACAGTTAACTCTGACATAGCAAATGTCTTCACGTCACAGGCTTATTTTATCAGTGTCAATTAATAATTTTTACGTATGTTTTTGATTTGCTTACCACTGTCTATATAAAAACAGATGTAGAAAGCTAAACAACCCAAAAAAATGTCTTAGATTTATGTTCTGTTCCTCTGTGGCTTCAACTAAATTTTCACTTTCCTAGATCATCCTTAACTCCATGCATAAGTACCAGCCCAGGCTTCACATTGTCAAAGCTGATGAAAACAACGCCTTTGGATCAAAGAACACAGCCTACTGTTCTCACGTCTTCCATGAGACGGCCTTCATCTCAGTAACATCTTATCAGAATCATAAGGTATACAAACCTGACTTTTTATTCTCCACACGGTCAACAGCTACAGATCTGAGTAATAAAAATCAATAGATTTGCTTAGAACGTCCAGAAAACATAACCAGTGGTGCACCAACTGCAATTTTCTGGCCGACTGACGATTATCAATCATTAAAAAACCTGAAAATTTTTTATTTAATTAATATAATTTTATTTGTATTAAATAATAATATTAATAATCATTTGAAAAAGAGTTTGTGTGTCTGTGCAGAGTAATCATATATACATCTAGTTTTAAATGTAGACAAAAAAAAAAAAAAACCTTGGCTATTACACTGAACTTTGGTCCATTTGACCACTAAAAGTTAAGCTTTGTTTCATCAAAACAGAAGTGCAAATAATTTTCCTATCCAGGTAACATCTGTTCATCATAACCTTTTTCAAAGCCACAATTCGAAAATCACCATCGTAATTAGGGTGGTACAAGCCTCTCCATTTTTCTTCCAAATGGATATATGGTCATTGGGACTAAACTGTTCCACTTCAGCTACATGAGACCATAGAGCATGTCTGCAGAGATGAAGATGAGATGTTAGACTACATCCACAAATGTGTCAGTTAACCTATCAGAAGCTTCCAAAGACATGACATTATCATCTGGGCTTTCCCCCATTGTTTAAAGAGACAGTAATAATTCTTTATGTAATGTTTGGATTTTGAAGACATTATTAAATACATTTTTAACATTCTTTCTCACAGTATTGTACCTTTTGGCAAATAGAAATAATTTTGGTGATTCTAACTGACATATAACAAGACAGGTTTGCTTTGATTTAACTTCAGACAATGATAAAGAAAGGTCTATGTGTCTTTTAACCGTAATCATTGTATCTAAACTTTTGGTTTCAACAATAGGTACATGTATTTCAGTACTTTTGTAAAAAAAATTGACAATTATGTAGACATAGCAATTTTTTAAACGGAGAAAGAAACATTCACGATTAAGCAACATTCTTCTCAGCAGCATGTGTGGCATTTCCCCTATATTTGGAAGCGATGTTTCATGCAGTGTTTTAAATACAAGAAAAGTTATTGTGTATCCTAACTAACATGGTAGTATCTGCATCAGACTGCTGATCCCAATATTTATTAGGTTAGATTAGATGGCTCTGCTGTTGGTAGCTGCAGACTGTGCTGCTGCTCTGCATCGCATTACAATGTCACACTGATTCAACACTCCTGTGGTTGACGAGTGTTCAATCACAGGTGCTTCCTTTACAGCTTAACGACTTAGCATGTCTGCAGCTTCCTGAAGAGTTGGATAAGAGATGGGTCAGGGGTCCCACTCCCCATTCCATGTCTGAATCTCAGATCTCAGTTTCTGATTAAATGTGAGATCTGTTAGCTATAGAAACAAAACACTTCTACTGCTATGACATTTGAAGAGTTGCTGAGCTCCTGTTTAACACAGCAAATTTGCTTATCAGTTCTAATTATTGACTTACTTACTGATTTAAGCCAGAAAGTCTAAGAGTTGTACTAAAATGTTTTTTTTAGATCACTCAACTGAAGATTGAAAACAACCCCTTTGCTAAAGGGTTCCGAGGCAGTGAAGAAGGAGACCTGCGTGCTTCCAGACTAGAGGGGTACGTTTCTATAGTAAGCCACCAGTGAAGAAATTATTTCATATATCCTTTAACATATTACATCTCACTCTATGGTTGCACTGTTTGCAGTTTTCTGGCCGATCGCTGATTACTAATCCTTAAAAATCCTGATCTACAGATTCTGATTTTGGCCGATACAGATTTTTTTGTCTGAAACGTTGCTAAATATATTAAGGAAATCACTGAGTTGGTAACAGTGGGGTGACTATAGTTAATGGCACATGTGCAGACATGACCTGGTGGGCAGGTCTGTCAGTCAGACTCTCTCATGGCAGAGCAAAAGAAGACGGTGGCTGATTTTCAGACCTTTGCCAAGGTTGATAAGATCAGTGGACAAATTCGGCCGTAAGTATCAGCTGATCACGGATTCCCAAAATCAAGGAACTCAGGGCCGATTCATCGGTGCACCCCTAACTCGTACCTTTCATATCAGCATACTTTTTAGTTCTATAAGACTGTTTTTTTTACAGACGCCTGTACTTCTCTCTGAAAATGTTGACTTTTCAATGAATGTCTGACAAAGCCGTTCTGTTCCTGATGTTTAGGAAAGATTATCCAGTCATTTCTAAGAACATGGTTCGTCAGAGGATCATCTCCTCACACAGCCACCTGGCAGGGAAGCTCCGGGCTGGAGTGTTGACCAGCCATGCTCAGGTCCTGTCTTCTTATCCATATGACACAGGAGTTTCTCTGTCAAACTTAGAATCCCAGGATTCTCTCTCCAACCACTTTCCTCAGAGCAGAGATCCCAGTCTAGTTTACCACTGCTTCAAACACAGAGGTACGTTTCTGTTTTTATAGGGAAATAATACAAAATCAAACACAGTATGGAGCGGCCCACAGGTCAGTTGACTCTTTTGCTCTGCAGATAACAGCCGACATTTGGAGCTCGGATGCAAGCAACCATATCTGGAGTCGTCATCGGTGATGTCAGAGGAGCATTTCTTCCGTTCTGCTCCCTCCTACGAGTCACCCTTGCTCTCTCGTCCCTACTGCGGCGAAGCCATCACTGCCAGAGAAGCTTGCATGTATAGCGGGATGGAGACCCAGCCAGGAGCGGGGCCTGGGGTGGCAGAGAAAGACGAGCGGACCATCTCTCCTTCTGTTAACTGCAGCATGTGGGCCACGATGCAGCCATATTCCCGCTATGGCGTGGAGGCCGTCCCGTACCAGCCCTTCACCTCTCACCCCTTCTCCAACGCCGCAGCTGTCCACTCCGTGCTGCCACAGCCCGCCTCAGCAATGTTACCCCGACCGCAGACCGACCTGGGCGTCTACAATTCAGCTGTGGTTCAGAGAGCTCTGCCGGTCATACCGCAGTCATCCTCTTCTTCGTCCTGCTCTCCAGTTCTCACTGGTTCCAGTGATGTAATAAGTCATCAGCCTTTGTACCACAAAAAATCAGGCTCCCCACTCCAGCCTCTGAAAGAGTATTCAGCATGTTCTAGTCAGAGAATGATGCCTATCCGAGATTCCTCCCATCAGTACCAAGTGGGGCTAAGTAATGCAGGGAGTCACTGGACCGACAGCTAATGTGTGGATAAATCCCTCTGTTCAGGTGAGACGTCATGAAAAGTTTCTGAAAGCCCAGAGCGGCTGAAGATACTGAAGTACAATGATACTGAACAGCAGTCATGGTCTCTGTTGAACTGCACTGCACATCTGTAATCTATACAGCCTGTATACTGAACTGTCAGTGCCCACCTCTCCACTTATACTGGTATATAACAGATGGTGCAAAGGCTGAAGATGTTTCTGAGACTCGAATGCAAACTGTGTGTGTGAGGAGCACAAAGTATCTAACACACACCCAGGTCACAACAACAAGCCAGGAGGAGATACACACAAAATATGGAAGCAGGAAGACGAAGAAAGCATAGAAAGAGAAAATAGTCAATGACATTACTATCAGTATTTTCTGAGTTGCCTTTTAAAGTTGCGGTACGCAACTTGTATAAAAATATTTTTAACATATTTGTTGAAAAAGTTGTGCCATGTTGTGACAGTGTGCTGTGAGACAGATCTGTGAAAAAAATTTAGCTCCTCTGCCTTCTCCCAGAAACAACCAATCAGATCCCAAAGGTATCTTAGTTCTGCCAATTATCCTCCATGTGGCGCTGCTCATCCCTCCTTCTGTCTTTCCCCATTGCTCGCTGCTATGCTGCAGCTAGCACAGCCTGTCCTGAATGCTAAAACTAGTTAGCATGGCCAGTCATGACTGTGGATGATATACTCTATCCATCCATCCATTTTCTTCCGCTTCTCCGGGGTCGGGTTGCGGGGGCAGCAGCTTCAGAAGGGAGGCCCAGACTTCCCTCTCCCCAGCCACTTCTTCCAGCTCCTCCAGGAACCCCAAGGCGTTCCCAGGCCAGCCGAGAGACATAGTCCCTCCAGCGTGTCCTGGGTCTTCCCCGGGGCCTCCTCCCGGTGGGACGTGCCCGGAACACCTCACCAGGGAGGCGTCCAGGAGGCATCCTGACCAGATGCCCGAGCCTCAACTGGCTCCTCTCGTCATGGAGGAGCAGCGGCTCTACTCTGAGTCCCTCCCGGATGACCGAGCTTCTCACCCTATCTCTAAGGGAGAGCCCAGCCACCCTGTAGAGGAAACCCATTTTGGCCGCTTGGCCGGATCTCGTTCTTTCGGTCATGACCCAAAGCTCATGACCTTAGATGAGGGTGGGAATGTAGATCAACCGGTAAATCGAGAGCTTTGCTTTTTGACTCAGCTCTCTCTTCACCACGACGGACCTGTACAGCGCCCGTTTCACTGCAGATGCTGCGCCAATCTGCCTGTTGATCTCCCGCTCCCTTCTTCCCTCATTTGTGAACAAGATCCCCAGATACTTAAACTCCTCCACTTGGGGCAGGATGACCCCCCTGACCCGGAGAAGGCACTCTACCCTTTTATATATATATACTCTATTATTTATTTATTAGGCTTCTTGATCTGGGACTTGAGTCCAAATTTCATACTACAAACAAGCAAATGCTAGCTGGTATGATAATAAAACATCATTGAATCCTTGACTAAGTGGTTTACCTGGAATGGTAAATTGTTTCTCCACCATTAGCACATTTAGCAGCAAATACATGGGATCCATTGACAACACTAAGACCCTCCTCCTGGCTCTGATAGGTTGTTTTGGTCGGGAGTGGTGCATTTCTCCAGAATGCACCACTGCATTCTGGAGAAATGCAGTGGTGCAAATTGATCTTTTCACAGACTATCTGTCTCACTACATGGTGACACCACATGGAGACAGTTTCAACAAATATGCAAAAAGCATTTTTTTTTTATAAAAGCTGGATACTTCAGCTTTAATGCCACAATATGTTTTCCTAGAATGCTTTGTTACATACTGTTGTTGTCAAGTTATTGAATATATTACTGAGAAACATTATTTCAACATTACTAAACGTAATGTTGAAATACAATAATACTGTTGTATTATTGCCATGACACCTGGATACGTTTAGTGATACCATGACAGGTGGCTCTCTATAATAAAGGGTTCCCAAGTATTCCCAGCATAATTATATATTTGCAGTTCTGATAAAATAAAAATTAAAACAATGCATTAATAAATAAAGAATAATAATGGCTTTGTTTTCAGGTTAAAATGTGTCAGTTTGGATTTTGGTAACAAACTTAGTGCCTGTGAGAAACATAGAATAATAACATTAAATGGATTTAAAATAATTATAGATTTTAAATATGAAAAGCTGTTGCAGACAGGCTGATATGTTGCTGTTTCACAACTAACTGAATGATTGATAAAGATGCAGAATCAACATATTTTTATTTAGCTTGACCTCTGGACATCTGAGCTGAGGTAAAGGACTACATCCTCCAGGACTTCTCCAAATGTGACGTCACCGTCTGGACCTAACATAGATGATGAAGGAATGCCCGCAGCAGAAAGGAAAGAAAAGATAATGCCTTTCTTATATTATAACTCTTAGAGAGAAATTAGAATCAGTGGGTCAAAGCTTTAAATTAATCAGCCAAACAAAAATTCTGCATCCAAATCCAGAGTTTATCATTATAACAATTCATTTGCTTGTCATTCAGAGCAAAAGGAACTGATAGGTTCCTCTCCTTTGTTTATTTGGAAAACCAGCAGTCAAACATTCATAACATTAAAGTGGTGCTTCTAACCAAATTTTATATAAAAAGAAAAAGTAACTATACAAATAAAACTGTGTGCATAAGCAGAGTAGTACTTGTTAACAGCATATTTGCACAAGTTTATGTCTCTTCCAGCAGTTTGATTCTAACCATTTAATTTCCAGTCAGCTTTATTTGGTGTTATTTTCCTACTGGACTGAGCGTGGTGTGACTGTCACCACACAGCTCAGATTCCTTCCCTATTGCCAGAAGATCCTGGCTGCTTAAGCCATGTCAAACATTTACGGTCTAGGAATTCCAGATTGCACGTCTGAGAAATGTTAGAAATGGCAAATTCCTGAATTTTTACAGATACATCCTTTACAACTTGGTGATATGCAGTCAGTTTTATTGAAGAAAAAATATTATAACAGTCCTTTTCCTAACCTTCTTATATTTATTCGCAGTAGTTTTCAAAAATAAAACTGGGAAACTAAAGACAGTTTAAATAAAAAGAGAAAAATGCTTACACTGTTCTGCTTATTTTTTTTCTTCTCTGACAATAAAAAATTACTCAACAACACTGTGAGAATGTAGAAGATGTGTAGAGTTACATTCAAACGTAAACCACACTTCCTGGTGTTTAAGTGCATGAGAGGTTATTTCTGTCATTTAAAAATAATTACTTTGTGATTCTTTGCACAATCACAAAGTAATTTTTATAGTTTACTACTAATGTGAGTCAGAATGTGAATTAGATTGCAATTAAAAGTGAAGTTGTAAAAAGTCTGCTGAAAGGAGAGAAGTGACAGCAGGATGGGATGATAAGAGCGCTGTGTGCTGCTTTACCTCCTGTTGGATCATGAGTTATGCAGCCACCAGATTCTGTTTTACATCAGTACCTCTTCCTCTATCTCCCTCTCAGCTGTTCATGCAGTTCACATGAAGGGAGTTCTGCTCTCAGAGCAATCAACAAATCATCAACTGGCAATCTTCAAATGTGGAACCTGATAAAAGATCAGGAATACCTGAGATGAGTAAAGCATAGTTTCTTCCCATGACCAACTTTACATTAACACTCGTACTGGGTTTTTGTTGTTGTTGGTGTAAATCATACTTATATTTAGTGTACAAATTTCTGAATATTTTTCTGAGCAGTTAAAATGAAATTTCATCCATGTTTTATGTTACAATTTATTTGAATTCAGGCAAGAATCACTTTATATTATCAGTCATAGAAAAAAATTAAGCATCCTGCTTTTTAAACTAAAACAAAAAAAGTTAAATATATATATTTTATACAAGCACATGTAAAACAATGACCAGCAAAAAATCTAGTATTAATAAACCAACAATCAAAAACAAACCATCCTGTTTCATTAAAGGGTCCGTAGCATTATACTGCTGGAACCAGTGGTGCTGGAAGTGGACTAGCTGTTCAGACTGAGTCAGCGGTCAGCATGTAAATGACATCCATTCCCTCTGACCACCACACCGTCTGCATCAGCTGATGTCTGCCCTGTGCAGTGGAAGAGGAGCAGCAGGTACGCCTCTCTGACCTGGATCATCACTCCTAATGTCAACTTTACATCTGATCTGAGACTTATACAAATAATAAAAAATAAGAATTCTGTACAACACAAATGACAAACAATACCAAATGATGATAAAACATTTACTAATTAATGGTATTTATGTGAAAGCGACAAAGTACAGATGAAGACAAAAGCAACCTTAATGATGAATTCAATGTTCCGAAGAAAAATCCTCCATTTCGGTTTTTCCCGAAATCAAAGAGCATAGGTGGACCGCAGCTGGGGCCAGCCACATCTGCAAACAACAAAAGGATAAAGTTAGATGTTCAATTAAACATTAAGATATTACCTTACTATTTTCTTGAACTTCTTTGCCGAAATCCAGCAGTAAAACCTGCAGAGTTTCAGGTGAGGTTCCCTTCACATCAAAAGGAAAGTAGCTGACACCAAAGATCCCTGACTTTGGTTAATAGACTAAGTTTTTTTTTTTTTTTTTGTCAAAGCTTTAATGGTGCATTAAAGAGCAGGAAAGCCATATTGAAATTTATGTTATCTGACTTTCCACATAAAAGCCCAGTCACTCTCATTAGAAAAATCCCATGTTTGAGCCCCTCATGGAGCACAGAGTAAGCACGCTGCGTGTGTATCTTCAGTAAGAGGACCTGGGTATTAGAGCCCATCTGGAAGTCATTGACGGTAGAACGGGCTGTTTCCCTCTCCCCTGCATCGCGCTGCCCTTCCCTACTGTCGTCCCATAATCCCACCTAACAGCCGCCTAGGCTTGGCTGCTCCATTCCGACACAATGATGGGCTTAAATTGGCCTTCTTGTAAAAAAGAAAGGGCTTTGGCTGTTCAGCAAGCCACTCCAAAGGGACACTTTAAATATCTAAGAGGGATTTAATATCAAGTCCATTAGGGCTTTTCTGGAGCCCTGTAAATAGTCAATTAGTGGATGATTTTGATTTGATCCACATGCAGAAATGTTTTGTTTCTACATGTGGATCAGAGAGAGTCTAGGAGAGATAAAGCTTCACGCCAGCTCACCGTCCATGTGTCACAAACAAAAGGTCACATTTACAGCTAAGTAAAACATAATGAGCATGTGCAGCTTTTCCCAAGACATCTTTGTTATGCTCCTTCATAAAAAAAGATTAATGGTGTTCTGGAGGCCAGAAGAACACAAGAGTCACAGAGGGATTACAACAGGGAGCCCAGCTCAGAGGCACAGGAGGCTGGAGAACTGGGCCAAAAGGGCACCGGGAGGGTTGAAAGCTCTGATGGAGGGACATTAAACTCTTAGCGTGTGTGATCAAACATGCAGATGGCTGGAAGCGATCTGCACCACAGCTAAATCTGCAGGATAAATAAGATCTGCGTGTTTTAAACTGGCTTTGGATAAAAGCGTCTGAAAAACGAATAGTTGTTACGAGGAGTTATTGGATTAATCATCCAGGAAGCAGAGAGGCACTTTATTTATTTCTGTACTGGAAATAAACTGATGTGAAAACTATCTGCCTCCTGCTGGTTTCTTCTAGTTCTTCTTTTTCACACTTAAAGGCTTCAAATCATCAGATTCATTTTAATATCAGACAAACCTGAATAAATA